TAACTTGCCTTTATTTGATTGAATCATTAACTTTGGAAGCCAGTACTTTGGTAGAAAGGTGGGATATAAATAGGTAAAGGTAAAGGTTCCCCTTGACATTTTCAGTCCAGTCGTGTCCAACTTTAGAGGGCGATGCTCATCCCACTTTTCAAGCCGTAGAGCCAGCGCCTGTCCAAAGACAGTTTTCTGTTGTCACGTGGCCAGCTTGACTAGGGAACGCCGTTTTACCTTCCCACTGAGAAGGTACCTATTTATCTACTCGCATTTACATGCTTTCGAACTGCTAGGTTGGCGAGGAGCTGGGACAAAGCGACGGGAGCTCACTCCGTTGTGTGGATTCGATCTTACGACTGCTGGTCTTCTGACCCTGCAGCACAGGCTTCTGCGGTTTAGCCCACAGCGCCACCACGTCCCTTGGGAAATAAATATATAGTAGTAAATAACACCAGACTGGCTACACTCGAAGAACAGGATATGCTTGGTTTTTTTGTACGGAATCTGATGTTGCAAGGGCAGGACTTTTTTCTTCACTGCTTCATTATCTCTGCAGCATAAAAGAAAAGGGTGAAGATGCATGCAAGGAGCTGCTGGAGGCTTACCTCTCCTGTCTACGTGCACTGGGCACAGCCCACCCAGATCTAGAAGCCAGGTCCACGGTAAGGCACTGACATTCTACACTGAGTATAATCTTGACATACGCAAATGTTCAGAAACAACTTGGTAAATGGCAGGACTCAGAACTATGTCAGCATGGAAAACTGCAGTCAGATCATAAAAAGGGAAGTTAGGACCACATGGTTTTCATCCATGCCCACAGAGACAAAAAGGAGGCTGCGGAGATGAAGGAGTGGTGCCCAGCCTTGGGCAACGCTGGTGTTCTTCGACTGCTGCTCCCAGAAACCCAACCAGCACTGCTGATGATAAAAGCTTCTGGGAGTTGCAGTTCAGGAACCCGAGTTACCCCAAGGTTGGACCACCTCTACAGCAACAAAACCTTGGCTCCTCCATTGATGACTTGTTCTTAACAGGACTCCTCCAGGATACCTAGTCGCTAACAAAGGGGACTAAGGCCCAGAAGGGGCTTCATCAGGAATGGCCCAGAAGAAGCTTCATCAGGAATGGAAGGGGAGCCCAATTCGTGACTCCTCCCACTCCTATCTATCCCTTTAGCAAAGAAATCCTGGAGATGAGGAGCACTGCCAACTCTTTTTGTGGCAGGACCTTTATGCTTGCACTACAGGAGCCTTGTCTCGTAAGAACTGATGGGATAAAGCTTTTCCTCACAGAATAGTGAAGAGAAGCCCCACCAGCAGATCTCCTGACAGTCCAAAGTATGCTAAGAACACAAGAGCCATGCAAGGGAAACATGTTATCAAGCATAAAGGACTGTGGAAGAAACTCAGTCTTCTCAGTTCCCATTTGGCATGCAATTAGCAGCGCTCTGATGTCTCCACTGATGACAGATATGTCAGGAAAGGAACACTGGTGGGTCTCTGGGAGTTGGAGGGGGGGAGCAGAACCACTGCAGCCTAGATTGTTGGGGACTGAAAAATAAAGCTACATCACCTTGTGCATCTTTTCTCTTTCAGACGTCAAGTCATTGAAGATCCTCTATGGCCAAGTCTCCGGGTTTCTCACAATTATTCCATGGCACTCAAGGAGCAAAGGTCCAGAGCGGGATTTGCCCAGGGCTGGATGCTACGCTCCCTGCAGGCACTGAGGCAAGGGAGTTCCGTGTGCAATAAAGCCCTTTGCATTTTACTCAGGCTGGACCTGCATTAGTTACTGCGTTGCTGCTTATTATTATGCCACCACCAGGGTGCTCCAGACACTCCGAATGTACATAACTAGCACCTTTCTGTGCAGTATCTATGAATTCATTTCTATAGCACCTTTTAAAAAAGAGTTCGAACAGTGCTTTATGATCTTTTATTGCTTAAAATAAATTGCCCACCGATCCAGGGCCCCATGGTAAATCTATTGCCACTTCCATGCAGTTGCTGGGTTGTCAGATCCTTGTCCTTGCTCTCCCAAGCAGTTGTGCATCTGGACCCCAGAAGAGATCTGAACTAGTGGTTCCCAACCTTGAGTCCCCAGATATTTGTGCACTAAAACTCCCAGAAGCTTTCACCACTGGCTGTGCTGGCCAAGATTTCTGGGAGTTGTAATCCAAGAACGTCTTGGGACTTGAGATGAAGAACCAGTGCTCTAGAACAATGGTCCCCAACCTTGGGCCTCCAGATGTTCTTGGACTACAACTGCCAGAAACTTTCACCACCACCTATGCTGGCCAGGATTTCTGGGAGTTGTAATCCAAGAACGTCTTGGGACTTGAGGTGAAGAACCAGTGCTCTAGAACAGTGGTCCCCAACCTTGGGCCTCCAGATGTTCTTGGACTACAACTGCCAGAAACTTTCACCACCACCTCTGCTGGCCAGGATTTCTCGGAGTTGAAGTCCAAGAACATCTGGAGGCCCAAGGTTGAGGACCACTGCTCTAGAACTTCAGAGCAGCAGCCTCCACATGGTTGTCGTCAAGACAACCATAGAATGGAATAATTTCCATGGGTCATTTACAGAGGTGCATCAAGCCTATGACAGACTCACAGGAATGTCTTTCCAAACAATACAGGACAAGCCAGCAGAGCACACCAGCTCCAGAGGAGAGTTCACCCTGCACCAAAAGATGGCACATTACCGGCTTTCCAGAACAAAGCAAGTCTGTTATCCTCTTTTGGAGATACCGGGCACATCTGCACATCACAGTAAGCCAGGATTTGTGCAAACCAAAGGGAGTTTATTTAGCACAGGGTTATGCATAATGTGGCTCACAGCCCGCATGCTGCACCCCACCCCAGGAGGAAAAAACAATGTACAAAGTTGCAAACAGTTTTAAATCTTTAAAGGTCTTATTTACAAATATAAAGTGACTAGGTAAGGTGTTTCAAGGCAGCAGGATTCTCAAAGGTCTGGGGAGGGATAAAAAGGACCCAGACCCTGACAAATTGCCCAGCCCTAATTTTTACCTCCCCTACAAAAAGTCATAGAAAGAAGCTATGGTCACCATAAATTCTGTTTGCTTCACTGTTTGTTTGCAGTGGCATTAGTCAACAACGTGTACCAGCATGTTATCTTGGACACAGTAAACTAGAATCCTGGTTTAATCGAATGTGCAAACCTGTGATGTGTATTTAACTCATGAGCATCTGTCTTCCCCCGTCCTGTTTTAAACTTTGTTTATCCTCAGGGGTATTTTGGCCCAAATCCAAACCTATGAAATCACCAATGATTTTACAGAAAATTCTCAGGAATAAATGCACAGATCTTGTCTCTGCCCACAAAAACCTGCACGTGAGGCCTTAAATAGACATTTCTGATTTTAAGAACAGTAGAGAGTTCTGTTAGATCCTGCCAAAGGCCAATGTAGTCCAGCATTCTGTTTCTCCCCATGAGCAATTTGATCCCCTTCTTTCTACATTACATGGGATGGAGCAGGGTGCTGAAAGAGACAGGAAATCTCCTTCTGCCACCTCGGAGGCCTCCACCGAATTCCAAGGTAACAGTTCAGAGGAAACAAGATACATTTGCGATGACCTGGGAGCCTTTAGGGTTATGGCAAATCATTGGTGTTCTCTCATTCCAAATACTAACATTCTAGTAGTGATTTTTAAAACATACATTACCCATCAAAAGAGAAGTCTCTTTCTATAAACCTGCTGGATATCTCAGTGGTAATGATGATAATGATTACACCTATGTTAGGCCAGTCCCACTTGATCTCCTGCTTCAAGTATATAGGAGGGAAGAAAACACCTTTAAGGACTAAACTAGACTAGCACCTGGGCAACATGATCTGGTTGGGGACCTTGTGCTGCAAGGGACAAGCCAGCTGGTGCAAATTTCTTGCACAGGACACAAGTGTATTCCAGCTACCAATTGCCCACAGATTTCCTGAGCTGCATTCATGTTTACCTGCAAAACATAGCAAGCCTTAAATCCTGGATGCTGTTGCAGGCAATTTCTAAGGTTTCATTCAAGAGTACCTAGATCAAGCAGCAGAAAGACAAAAAACAGTACAGTGACAAGATACAAATCTAACAAGAAGGCACCATGCCCTATTCCAGTGCTTTCCAACCTTGGGTCCCCAGATGTTCTTGGACAAAAACCCCCAGAAGCTTTCACCACTACCTGTGCTGGCCAGGATTTCTGGGAGTCGTAGTCCAAAAACATCTGGGGATCCAAGGTTGTGAAGTGCTGCTCTAGTCTAAATCCAGACCCATTTCCATTCCTCATGGGCTTCTCTGAAAGCTTTCCATAATCTCCAGAATCTGTGTAGATTTCTTTTTCATTGCCTCTTGCAAATATTATTGATTCTTCTCTGTACCTCCACATCACTGTTTTCCAAGCTTGGGTTCCCAGATGTTCTTGGACTACAACACCTAGAAACCCTGGCTGGCATAGCTAGTGGTGAAGGTTTCTGGAAGATTTAGTCAAAGAACATCTGGGAACCTACTGCTGTATAGCAATCATTTGTCTCTCCAAGTTTAAGATAAAAATGTGAAAAGGCCCCAAGGTTCCATCCACATCACAGGCGAAGACGCCAGGAACAAGAAAGTTTGTTCCTGAAAGCTAGCGGCTTAACTTCCTGCATGGAGCACTTGGACCCTAGTGGTCCATCTCACGAACTTCCAAGGTGATGGACGGGGGTGGATACGGAGTAGAGAAAAAGAGAACTTGGTGGTAGGTCTGCTAGCGTCAGCAATGGTCAACTAATTTCAGGCTCAGGAGAAAGCAAATAACAGTTTAGGCAATAAAATGGCCAAAAAAAATCCCATATGCAACACAACCCAATGGCAAACACAGACTGTTCCGAGGGCCAAAGGCTGCAGTCCAAATGAAATCTGAACAAACGGCAGGAGCAGGACTCTTGGGACCACATATAGCCAGGGCTGCAGGCCCTCAATGCTCCATCTCAGCAGCAACACCACATGCCACAGGCGCTTTCAGTACAAATCTACAACCTTTATTACAAGAAGGAGACAGACACAATGATGAGGCACTCCTGTCTCCAGGAGGCTGAGCCAAACATAAAGCTTTAGGCCTGGAAAGTGCTGGAACATCTCTTGCCACCTTCACAGGGGCAGGAGGTGTCAACCAAGGTGCTGACTGTCACATCTTTTCTCTCCCCCATCCACCTTCTTCCCGTCAATATGAGAAAACTGAGGAACGGGCAGGGATTACATGAGGCTATTGTCACCCCACGCCCGCCCTTCATTCGGCAAGGAGCTAACACCTCCGAGGCTTGTGGAACGGAGGCATGTAGAAGATACAGGAAAAGAAGAAAACCCGTTTACCCACCCCTACCTCAGCAAGTGGCATTTAAAGTCCTTTTAAAAGGAAGTGGAGCGGAAAATATGAGACTTGCATCACTCCATTTTAACCCCTGTCCTTGCCTTAAGCCACTTGCCATCACCTACCCCTCAAAAAGCTGCAAGGCTCCACTCCTTGCTAAAGCAAAGATCATCTCAATATCAACAGTGTTTTAAGAGGCTAAACCCTGGCAGGGGAGGGGTGCCAAACTGTGGGTCCACTAATCCCGCCGTAGGTTCTTTAGCCGTTCCTCCAAGTCGGCATCGGCATCCGCGAGAGCAGCTGAGGCCTCGGCTTTCTTCCCTGCTGCTATGCTCAGAGAACCGCCAGTCGAAGGCAGGTCTGCGAAAGAGAAGAAAAAGTCTCAGATGACACAGGATTTATTTATTACATTTAGATGCCATTTTAACCTCCCATGCACTCCAGATGGCATACAGGGTTCTCTCCTCCTCTCGACTTTATCACCACCACCCTGTGAGGTAGGTTCAGGCTGGAAGAGTGTGGCCAGTCCATGGTTCCCAAGAAAGCTTCCCAGCTCAACCAAGATGTTAGCCCAACTATTTTCAATACGAAAACAATTCTAACCAGTACCCCACGCTGGGTCTCTACAAACACGGTTCCATGCTCTCCTCCCAGTTCTTGCCACACTCTCAGCATCTCAACCTTGCAGCTGGTCATGCCTAGGAAAGGCACCAGCACCCTGTTAAATATGAAGACTGAGCTGCTGAAGTATCACATATGGAATAAAGACATTGAGAGGCTTGGAAACTATGTGTGTTAAGAGCTGCTTGACTTCCACCCCTGATCTAGGCCAGTAATCAGTTCCCTAGAGGTTGTCAACCCCCGGTCCACAGCCCAGTGCCGGTCCATGGCCTGAGCCTGACTGGGCCACGAAGACAGACCTCCTGCCCCAACCCTGCATGCACTCACCCCCACAAAGGCTGTTTGTGCCTGCGCGTGCTTGTGCAGGCGCTCTCGCTCTCATGCGCATGTGCAAACACTGGTGCTGCCACTCGCACATGCACACAAGCACGTGCCTGCACAAGCACCACACCACTGTTCAGGCATGCGCACAAGTGTGT